CGTCCCCAAGCTATGTTTGAACTGTTTTGGGAGTATTCCTCCTGTAGAGGGACATGCCCGACTTCGCCCCAAGCCTGTCCCCCCCGAAACGCTGCACCTTTGCCCCGGCGTGGGCCCCCGGGGCGTCGGCCCGGCCATGCTTCTGGGGGCTCCGGGGCCAGGCCATTAACTCGGCGCCCCCGAGGCCGAAGCTTGAGAAGCACTGGCCGTCGCGACGCCCTCGCGGCGCGCTCCTCCGAGGGAACCCCCCCTGCCCGCTCCAGGCTGGCGACTCCGGGAGCGCGCGGGGCCGCTGCACCTGGGCGGCGCGCGCAGTGAAGGGGGGTATCGGGGGGAGGGGGGAAGGCTTCGTCAAAGGAGGCTGCTTCTTGGAAGGCGCCGGCCCTACACCTACAGCCAAGGCCCGCGCCTGCTGAGAAGCAGGGGCGTTTCTAAGACGCCCCGCCCGTGCCCCCATAGGACGAGATCCGGCGGCTCTGGAGGATGTCTCGGGCGCCGCGGCCTTCTCAGAGCGTTCCGGAACGCTCTGAGAACCCTATGGAACGGATTTCTCCTTGTCATAGCACCGTCTGAGAAGCAGGGGCGATTCTAAGAATCCTCCCCCCTCCCCCCACTCATCTTCTAGAGGCTTCCTACACGGGGTCGGAGCAGATGTGGTCGGAGGATCGCGCCGCATCGCCGATGCATCGGCGATGTATCGGCGATGCATCGGCGATGCACCAGCAACGTTGACGATGCAGCGTGGAGAAACTCGGGCTCCACATCGATCCGCATCGCGGATGCATCGGCGATGCGGCGTGATCCTTCGACCCCATCCACTCCGACCCCATCTGGGAGGCCTGGACCTCCTGCGCGTGGCAGAGCACCGGCGGTGAGTCTGCTTCTCCGGCGCTGCGGTGGCGACCTGTGGCGGCCGGCTTGCTGCGGGACGCGCGGGCACCGCACAGCTCCCTTGCCTCCAGGGGAGGGGCGATCGGGTCGCCGTCACCGTCGCCGTCGCTGGCGCCGTCGCCGTCGCCGTCGCCGTCGCCGTCGTCGTCGCCGTCGCCGTCGCCGTCGCCGTCGTCGTCGTCGTCGTCGTCGACGTCGTCGTCGTCGGCGGCGGCGGCGGCGGCGGCGGCACCGCCGACGCAACCAGGGAGGAGGAGGCCGACGCAACCAGAGAGGAGGAGGAGGAGGAGGAGGAGGAGGAGGAGGAGGAGGAGGAGGAGGAGAGGAAGAGAAGGATGAGGAGGAGGAGGAGGAGGAGGAGGAGGAGGAGGAGGAGGAGGAGGAGGAGGAGGAGGAGGGGGAGGAGGAGGAGGAGGAGGAGGAGGAGGAGAAGGGAGGAAGAGGAGGAGGAGGAGGAGTCCACTCACCCAGAGAACGAGACGAGGGCAGGCGGACACGAAACGAACGAGAAGAAGGCAAGCTAGTCCTGGCGCGGTCCCCAGCGCAAGAAGCTACCCTCCTGCGGCGCAGCTCCTATGAGGTCTCTCACCTTCGGGAACCTCTGAGATATCTGTTGCACTCTGGCCTGAATCACTTGTGTCGGAGAAACCCGACGATACCGACACTCATGATATGCAATAAACATAAAATCGAAAAAGAGGAAAATGCTAGTTACACTATCATTGGGCAGCGGCAGATGCTGAGAGAGCATGGCACGAGCGGAAGCAGGAGCAAAACAGAAAAAGGCAGGAAGACGCGGGAGGAAAATGCACAAATCCTGAATCCTCTGACACTCGAGAAGGTGGACAACTCTATCACTGCGCGGTGCACGACATGCGACACGCGGCCTAGTCTCACCACGGAACCTACCTGTCGAACACCATGCATCACACAGCGTCTTGAGCAAGGAACATATCACAAAGGAAGGAACATGAGAGGCAGTTTGCAAGCATAGCCGAATCACGTCATCTGCATTCTCACGAGTGGCCGTCGAATCCCATCGCCGAAGACGTCTCCACACAGTCTCTTTGCCAGCAGCCGACAACGCACGGAGTGTTTTCATGACCTTGCGCTGCAGGCAGGGCTCGAAACTCGGCACGCCAGGGATTGCGCACACCTGCTCATAATTGGCAGCAAGCCCGTCAATGACTGACTCCTTCCACCACCGCTCCTCCCTCCACAGAATCGCAAAATCATCATCACCTCCGAACTCCTCCAACTCCTGACGCAGTTTGTCGAACGTTGGCGAGTGCACCGCCACGCGGTGCATGCTGGCCTTGCTCATACGTTCAAGACAGGTGCATTCGACGGGGAGTCCGGCGCCCCGAAGCTCCTGAAGCAACTGACTGGGCATTGAATTGTTGGGGGCGCACGCTAGCCGTTGGACCCCGCCTCGCTCTAGCCTCGGGACTTCCCTCGCAGGCGGCATGAACTGGGCAACATAGGACAGACAGAACAGAAGCAGCCAGCAGATTGCGTTGGGCAACCGATTTCGCAAGCCCGAGACAGAGGCTCTGCGCCAAACCAACGCGCCCAAGACACTTCCGACAAGGGGCTTTCCAAGACGCCTCAAGCCCCCCAGGCCCGAGCATCAGGCCGAGATATCCACCGCGGTCCGCAAATGCGAGTTCTGAGGAATCAATCCCCCGCCGCCGCAAGAGGCCCTGGAAGCTTAGAACCGAGGTCGGCCCAAGAGGCACCACCCGAGTCTTGCTGCAATTGACGTAGAGGCCCACCCCAGGCCCAGCGAGCGCCCAGACACCCACACTGCCAACCAGAGCTTCCAAAAGATCTCCAGAGGCAACGCCTACATCGTCAGCGAACGCTCCCAGACTGTGCATAGGCCTCGGGAGGATGACACAGATGCGCCTCAAGACCGGTTCTACCGCCAGTGCAAAGTGCGATCCGCTGAGGGGGCATCCCTGCTTGATACCCCGTCGGATGAAGCACCCCACGCCCTCATGACCCCCACGATGCGAAATCGTGACCCAGACATTCTGGTAGAGACAGCGGATAGCCCGAACGACGCGGCTAGGGATACCCATCTCTTGGAGAACAGCGAACATCGCATCGTGCAGCAAGCTGGGGAAGGCAGCTGCCACGTCGTAAAAGATGAAGCCACGCTGGTCGGCACGCCGCTGCAAGTGCCAGTATAGCGCACGAAACTCAAGCTCAAGCACATTCTCGGCCAAGTTCCCCCCACGAATGAAACCTCGCTGTTCTCGAATGCAGACCCTCTGACAGACATATACCCCAGGGGTCGATTGAGCGCCGGCGCGATTATCTCGTTGTCAGAGTTGGACATGGTGAGGGGGCGCGTAACACCAGGCGCTCTCGCGACCAATTGCGAGCCATTCTCCTCCGAGCCCTTCGGTAAAAAGGCGTACGCGCCAAAATTAAAGCGAGGAGGGCAGTTTCCAGAGTCCAGAATATGCCGATAGAGGCGAAAAAACGCGCGTCTGCCCACCACCCCAGAACGTACCCAACCACTGTGCGGGATCCCATCTGGCCCTGGGGCGCTGTCATGGGTCTTCTCGAGAATCTCATCGAACTCACCCTCCTCCACCTCCCACAACCCCCGCGGGCACAGACTGAACGCGGCAAAGCAATTCGCGGAGAGGTGCAAGCTCCGCAAGAGCATCAGAATGAATGCGGCCCCAGTGCGAAGCAAGTAGCTGGGCCCCCGCACTCGGGCACAGATCAGCGACTGCTTGGAGGGAGATTCTGGCCGCAGTGGCGTTCCACGCGCTGCGGTATACATAAAGTTGGTTCGTCTTCGTCGTCTTTTGCACGTTCGTCAGACGGCCGTCATTCTGAAGGTCTTGGATCTGCTCGTCTATCATCTGCCGCTGGAGCGAGGCGGGGTGAGTGTGGAAGGCGAGGAAGTTAGCGAACGCCCCGTCGTCAGCGTTAAAGAAGAGGGAGAGCTCGGGGCAGGCGCGGAGAGCACGCCGCAAGATGGACAGGGCCTGGCTCGTCACGGCGCGCATGGCAGCGAGCGACCAGGCAAGAAACTCGGGGGGCGTCGATGCCCCGCGCTCCTCGAGCCCGGCTTTGACCCTTCTGGCACATCGCCGCATTGATTTCCTCAGCTCGCGTTGCAGGGTCTCGAGAGAGCTCCCCAGCCCCATCCAGGGCGGCCTCCAGGGTCACAGGAGAGCTCGGATGACGAACAACCCAACATTCGAGACGAAAGCTCCCCATCGTACTAGCTGTCGGAAACAGGGAAACGTAGATCGGGACATGGCCGGAGAAGGTGCGAACGTTGGCAGCGCAACCAAGTGCCCCAGAGCTCGGCGCCAGATCAAGAACCACCGCAGGTGGTGACGTAAGATAAAGCCTGTCCAGTCTCGCCAGGGACGCCACTTCGGAAGCCCCGTTGCAGTTTCGTTCAACGCGATGAGTGAATGCAGCTTGCTCAATCTCCAGGGCACGCGGAAACACCGAGTGGAAGAACTTGGCAAGACTATGTGAGGCAGTGACCACGCGCCCATCAGAGTGGACGCTGCCTTCTCCGAGAGCACAAAAATTGAAATCACCTCCAATGATGGCGGTGCACTGCGCACGCGGGCAGAGGTGCGAACGAATATCCCGAAACTGCTGCTTGCGATCGCACACTCGCAGCCCAGGGTCACTGTGAAGATTGATAATTTGAAACGCCGGTTTCTCATCATGCAGCAGAACCGTTTGAATCCGTCCCTGAACGATCACACGGTGCGATAGGTTTCCGAACCTGGCCCGAAGACGAGGATTGACGAGGACGACGCACCCCCCCCGCATGAGGATTAGAAAGAAACGTCGTATAACCTTCAAGTCGAAAGACTTCACGTTGCAACACCCGAAAAGACTCACACGTACCACGCACCTCCTGGAGGCACACCGCATCATGAGCCCGACAAAGCTGCAACACCTGCTTGATTGTCTGTCGATGAGACCCCTGCGGCGAGTAGATCGCACCGAAGAGAGACCGAACATTCCAGGACACCACCGAGAACTTGTCTGAGGGCACGAACGGCCCGCAAGTCCGCGGGAGCTCTGGGACAGGGTCACCCGAACTGCTAGAACTGGAGGTCACACTCGAAGACGACGTGGAAGGCGAAGAGGCAGAGGAGCTCGACGAAGCAGAGGTAGGAGTAGGCGAGGGAAAAGTTGCACAGGAATCTTGCCGCTGCCGCTCAGATCATTGAATTCTCACTGGTGCGCTCTCGCTGGCCTGGCTCGAATGAGCATCTGGATCGCCAACGTAAGCCGCAGCCGCAGCACCACCCAAAGAAGGCACTGCACCCACACTGCATGCTTCACGTCGCGGCGAAACAGCATCCGCCCAGGATACATCGTCACCGGCGGGGTCATGCACACGGCCGCTGGGCCAAGACTGGGATGGCTGAGGCGGCCCCTAGCATAGGAGCGCATCGCCATCTGCTCGGTAAAGCCCAGGCTCATCAACTTGGGCATGTTCGGCTGGATGTCCGTCTGCATCGTTTCAGCACCCTTGACAGTGAACAGTGCATCAACTTCATCACCCTGCATGAGCCAGAGGTTACCACGATATCCCTGTGCTCCTAACCGATACCCAACCGAACATTTGTTATTCGCGATGGCCGTCTCGTGCACCTTGGACCAGAGGATGCCGAGCAGGCGGTTCACACGGCTAATTTCCACGGGCACGTCCATCCGCACCTTGAGGTCCACCGCCTGGCTAGCCATGGGGTCGTGCCACTGTACACCGAAGGCATTGACTCGTTGCACAAACTCCTTGGCCTGCTCATTAGTCTCGAACGCAATGCTGTACGCTGTCGTGAAGTTGTGGATCTTTGGCTTGGCAACTGTCGTAACTGGGGCGTGTCGTGCAAGGAGCTCATCTGCATGTTTTTGAAGCACGGTCGCAAGCAATGCACGCGGGAACCCCGCGATCCAGACACGCAGCGGGTTGCTGTCTGGAGAAGGCAGCGACTGAGGCGGCAGACCACCGCGTAGCCGCCACGAGCTCCTTGAGCTTGTCGTCGTACTTCTGCGCCATGCTCTGGAGTTTCTCGTCCATGGTGGCCGTCGCGAGCTTCTGTACTACGTCGTATGAGGCCTTGGTGTCCTGCTCGAGCTTCGACATGCGAGTGTCTAAGACCGCAATGTTGTCGGCCTGCAACTGGATCTGCACCTTCATGCCTTGGAGGTCTGTGCGAAGATCTTCGCGGGTGACCATGTCTCGCCTGATGTAGTTGACCGCATTCAAGAGCTGCACGAGCGGGTCTGTGGGGGCGCCGTTGCCCTCGCCCTGCGGCTCCATGAGTCGAGGCATCTTGCCACGCTGCTCGTCTTCATCGTCGAGCGTCATCATCGCCACATCAACAGGCACGTCGGAGGCAGCGGCCATCGCGAGAGAGGACGAACAGGCGGGGGCCCAACTCCCGCAGTGAAGGCACAGAAGAATAGCTAGACACAAAGAGACTGATTTGGAGAGTGGCCTCACCGAGAGATTCGCGGTCGTCGGGATGGTCCATTGCCTTGAGCCAAAATGGCTACGGAAGAAGGAGGAGGAGGAGGAGGAGGAGGAGGAGGAGGACGAAGAGGAGGAGGAGGAGAAGGAGGTGGAGGAGCCCAAGCGCTGAACGTATCGCCGGCGCGATCAGATGCACTGCGCCACCTGGTCGCCGTCGGCAATGCGGAAGGAGAAAGAGGGAGAAGGGATGGTGGAAGGTGAGGGGCAGGGAGGAGAAGGGGGATGAAGGAGGAAGAATGAGGAGAAGGAGGAGAGGGAGGCGGAGGAGGAGGGAGACGGATGAGGAGGAGGGAGGGAGGGAGAAGGATGACCAGGGCGAGGGCGAGGAAGGAGGAGGAAGGGGAAAGGCAGGAAGAAGAGGGGTGGAGGAGGAAGAGGGGGACGAGTAATGGGAGACGGAGTAGGGAGAGGATGGCGAGAGAGCAGGGAGCGGGGAGGAGGAAGAGGAGGAGGAAGGAAGAGGAGGAGGAGGAGGAGGAGGAGGAGGAGGAGGAGGAGTCTGAGCTGTTCCCGCGGAGCTCAGCAACTCTTCCCACCCCTTGCCCAATTCTGCTCCGACCCGACGACGGCACCACAAGTCTAGCTGGCCCATACGACCCAGACCCTTCTCGACCCTACGATTCTTGCACAACTTCCGCACTCGTTGCCACACGGCAGCAGCAGTACCAGCAGACCCATTACAAAGCGGCTGCGACAACTCCAACCCGATCTGAGACACTGCAGATGGGAACGGTGACCAGCAGAGCTCCCACCTCCACCACGACTTGCACCGCACCTCTGGAGACGCCTACATCCACCTCCACTTCTCCGTCTACTTTTATGTTGGGCATATCCCCCTACAGGCGAATTTTGGACGAAAAATCAAGAGTAGCAAAACATATTTAAAAAAGGTTCAAAACAATTCGAAAAATCGTCCCCTGACTATTTTTAATCCCATGTTTGAATATTCCTCCTGTAGAGGGACACGCCCGACTTAACACTAACCTTCCCCCCCCGAACGCAGCTCGGCGCAGAGGGACAGCGATGGGAGGGTCAGCAGTCACAAGCCGCCCTGGGGAAACCGGGTCGCGCAAACGCGCGGTTGCCCGCTCCTAAGGGCGGCCGTGGACCACCAGGGCTGCACCGCCCTCAGGAGCCGCGCCGAGGGAGCCCTCACCTCCCCCTCGGGGGGTGGTGGACCCGCTCGGGCCACCCCATCCCACCCGCCCGCCCACTCTTACCCGTCTCATCGCCTTGCCCTTCTCTCTCCAGCACCGCCCCCCGCACGCGCCGCACACTTTTCCAACCTTGGCATCGTCTGCCACCCGGTGGTCTTTCGCCGACCCCTTCCTTCACCTGCCCGCACCCGCACTCCACCGACCTGCTGATCGCACCACAGGGAGGAGGCCCCCCCCCCGATCCTCGGATCCCCTCCTCCTCCTCCTCCTCCTCCTCCTCCTCCTCCTCCTCCTCCTCCTCCTAGGAGGATGGTGGCCCCCGCTCCGGGAGGAAGGGCGCGCCGAGATGTCCCTCCTAGTCCTCGGGCGGGTGGGGCCCAGGCTCGGGCCACGAGCTCTCACGGACACGGCAGGTCACCACCAACGGATACAGGCTTCCACAACCACCTCTCATCTAATTCTCACCAGGACGAGGAGCGCTTTCTCTCCCTCCTCCTCCGCCTCGTCCTTCTCCCGCTGCCCCCACAAGGAGGATGTACAAGGAGGCGGGAGGAAGGAGGAACAGGGGAGATATGCGGGGCCAAGCGGACACACGCCTGAAAAACACGACTGTCGGCATGCTTCGCAAGAGTTGCTGCTGTGAGATGGGCTGGTGGGGATACGCGAAGCGTAAAGAATTCTCACCGTTCCTGCCATTTTCTCCGCCGTTCGGTCGACTCCTTTCTTCATGTCCTCTTGGTTCTCTTGCCCTCCCCCCGGGTTAAGACCACGAGGATGATCTAGGATAGCGCCACCCGGATCGGGATAATCTTTCGCAGCTTTACCCTGGGAAAATGCTTCAACGATGCTGCAATAAACCTTTTGTCCGAAGTCCCTCCTCACAAGTCCCTGCTAACTTTGCAAGCATTCCTTTCTACTGCGGGCAATGCCCCGTTTGACAAGCGAGTGCGAAGCGGGCCTGCCATTCATTCAGGCGAAACCCCGTTTTAGAAAGGATCGACCTTCGACTCTTCTAACATAATGTGAATACGCATATGCACACACACATATATATAATGCGTACTTGCTAAAATCTGCCAAACTCTGAAATGAAATGCCCCGCGTCCGTGTAAGCGTGGTACGAGTCCGAAGCTCTCGTCATGACATTCAAGGTCGTCTCAAACGAAAGCCGTGTTAGCCAGCGTGGGCCCCAAACGAAAGGTTCTTGCAGTGTATGCGGTGCAATATATGTGGCGCAATGTATGCGATGCAGCCTATGTGATGCAATATATGCGATGCAATCTATGCGGTGCAATCAATGTGGTGCAACTAATTTCTGTTCGCAGTGGGTTGTCCACTCCACTGCTCGCGCAAACATCCCACACACCAACCCACGACTTGGTTTGCAAACCTCATGCGGCGGCGATTGCGATGAGTGCTTGGCGCTGGCTGGTGCATCTCTGCGGCCGCGCCAGCCCGCGCATGCGCGCGCAGCGGCCAGGTAGTTTGGAGCGATCGCCGCGGCCGCGGTGGTGCTGACCGCTCGGCACATTCAGGCGGGCACTTGAATGCGAATCGGCGACTTGGGCGGGTGCGGTATCATGGCAACGTCGACAAGTGTAGACACGATGATGATGGTACTAGCGATGTTGGTGACGATGCGGAGCGACGACGGCAGGGCCAGTGAGGGCGCCGATGCCGATCACGCCGACGACGATGACGGCGTCTTCGCGTCTGTGGTGAAGGTTTTGAAAAGGAATTCGAAATGTGCGCGCGGCAGACGCGCATGATATTATTTGACACGGGCCGTGCCACCCCAGCACGCGCGCAAGGGCGTTCGAACGGTTTCGACATGCGCGCGCGACGCCCGTTTGGTAGGATTGTATGAACATTCTGAACAACTCATGGTTTTCTTAAGGGTCCGCAAGAACGCGCACACGGTTTTGTTGAACATCCGTTTTGCGAAGCCATGTGTTTCTGTAGATTGTTTGGCAGCGAAACCGAAATCTTTTGAAGGATTTCGGCACGCGCGCGACGATGCGCGCGCGTGCACTTCGTCGCATTCTTTGCGGAGGATTCTCGCGACGGCACGCGCGCAAGGGCGTTCGAACGATTTCGACATGCGCGCGCGAAACCCGTTTGGTAGGATGTCATGACCATGTTGAAAAACCTGGAGCGCGCGCGCATGCAATCTATGTGATGCAATTCACTTTGACCTTTGACTGTCTTGAAGCTGTCCTCTCTACTGCTCGCGCAAGCATCACACCCTCCCACCCGCAACTTGGTCGCAAGACCTCTTGAAACCGTGACGGTAGGTACCACATGGCACTTGGCAGCGACACCGACGCCGACGACGACAGCGACTACGACGACACCGACGACGTCTCCAACGACTTCGACGACGACGACGACACCGACGACGACGACGACGCCGACGACGACGACTACGACGATTACGACGCCGACGCCGACGACGACGACGACGACGACGCCGACGACGACGACGACGACGCCGACGCCGACGCCGACGACGACGACGACGACGACGTCGCCAACGAAGACGACGACGACGAGGGAGGAGGGAGGACGGCGACGACGACAACGACGACAACGACGAGGGAGGAGGGAGGACGGCGACGACGACGACGACGAGGAGGGAGGACGGCGACGACGACGACGACGACGCAAGAGCGCGCGCGCACGCTTTTGTTGTAAACCTGCGTTGCGAAGCCATGTGTTTCTGTATGTTTTTTGGACACTCGATTTTCAAACCCTTCCGAACAATCAGGGTTTTTGAAGGATTTCGGCATGCCCGCGCACGACGCGTGCGTGCACTTCGTCCTTTTTTTTGCGGAGGATTCTCGCGACGGCACGCGCGCAAGGGCGTTCGAAAGATTTCGACATGCGCGCGCGGGAAGCCCGTTTGGTAGTATTTTTTGAACATTTTGAAAAACTTATAGTTCTCTTCAGATTTCGTGAGAGCGCGCGCGGAAGCTTTTAGAAAATCAGCGTTGCGAAACCCTATGTTTTTTTTGAAACTCGCTTTTGAAACCCTTCCGGTACCGGAGGTTTTTGAAGGATTTCGGAATGCTCGCGCGACGACGCGCGCGTGTGCACTTCGCCTAATGTTTTGCAAGGGATCCTTGAAGACTTAGAATGTTTGATGCACGAGTGCGCGCGCATAGAAATTTTTGCAGAGGATGGCGGGAGCGGCCGATACTGGTTGGGCTGGGATCGTATAAACTCACAGGTAGGATGGGCATTGGGTCAGAATCCTATGTGTTTTACATTGGTTCCCAGGGGTCTTTAATCCCGGGGGAGGGAGGGTAGTAGAACTGTTGTTTTGTTGTTTCTGCTTTGTTTTTAAATGGACAACTGATAACAGTGCCTCCGTGCCAGACCATGTCTCCGTGCCAGTCTGCGGTCACTGTGGCTGCCGCAAGAACTTAGATTGATATCCGTATTGCAAACGCTGCCACCACAAATTTCCCCATGTTCGTGATGGCAATCTCCCGGCTCCTCCGCGCGCTTGGGCTCATGATGTGGGTGGGGACGCGTCCGAAGACGGTAATGTGAAGTCGGGCCCGTCGCTCTACAGGAGGAAAATTCAAAAACAGTCCGAAAATAATTGGGAACGACTTTTGACAATTTTTGAATCCTGTAGGGGGACATGCCCAACCTAACGGTAATAGGTCTTGGTGG